ACACTCGCTCACTCACTCACTCAGTCACTCACACTCACTCACACTCACTCACTCACACTCACTCACACTCACTCACTCACTCACTCACACTCACTCACTCACACTCACTCACTCACACTCACTCACACTCACTCACTCACGCTCACTCACACTCACTCACTCACGCTCACTCACACTCACTCACTCACACTCACTCTCATTCACTCACTCTCACTCGCTCACTCACTCACTCACACTCGCTGACTCACGGCAGCTGTCTAGAGGGACAGGATGTTGTCGCGCGCGCGGCGGGGGGCGTGCGAAATCGTGGCAGGCGCAGCACTTTGGCGATGCCGTTGCCGAAGTCGTGGCAGGCGCAGCATTCTGTGCATCTGGGTGTGTGTTTGTGTGGCAGGGGTCGCATTCGGCAGCTGTCTAGAGGGACAGGATGTTGTCGCGCGCGCGGCGGGGGGCGTGCGAAATCGTGGCAGGCGCAGCACTTTGGCGATGCCGTTGCGAAATCGTGGCAGGCGCAGCACTTTGGCGATGCCGTTGCCGAAGTCGTGGCAGGCGCAGCATTCTGTGCATCTGGGTGTGTGTTTGTGTGGCAGGGGTCGCATTCGGCAGCTGTCTAGAGGGACAGGATGTTGTCGCGCGCGCGGCGGGGGGCGTGCGAAATCGTGGCAGGCGCAGCACTTTGGCGATGCCGTTGCGAAATCGTGGCAGGCGCAGCACTTTGGCGATGCCGTTGCCGAAGTCGTGGCAGGCGCAGCATTCTGTGCATCTGGGTGTGTGTTTGTGTGGCAGGGGTCGCATTCGGCAGCTGTCTAGAGGGACAGGATGTTGTCGCGCGCGCGGCGGGGGGCGTGCGAAATCGTGGCAGGCGCAGCACTTTGGCGATGCCGTTGCGAAATCGTGGCAGGCGCAGCACTTTGGCGATGCCGTTGCCGAAGTCGTGGCAGGCGCAGCATTCTGTGCATCTGGGTGTGTGTTTGTGTGGCAGGGGTCGCATTCGGCAGCTGTCTAGAGGGACAGGATGTTGTCGCGCGCGCGGCGGGGGGCGTGCGAAATCGTGGCAGGCGCAGCACTTTGGCGATGCCGTTGCGAAATCGTGGCAGGCGCAGCACTTTGGCGATGCCGTTGCCGAAGTCGTGGCAGGCGCAGCATTCTGTGCATCTGGGTGTGTGTTTGTGTGGCAGGGGTCGCATTCGGCAGCTGTCTAGAGGGACAGGATGTTGTCGCGCGCGCGGCGGGGGGCGTGCGAAATCGTGGCAGGCGCAGCACTTTGGCGATGCCGTTGCGAAATCGTGGCAGGCGCAGCACTTTGGCGATGCCGTTGCCGAAGTCGTGGCAGGCGCAGCATTCTGTGCATCTGGGTGTGTGTTTGTGTGGCAGGGGTCGCATTCGGCAGCTGTCTAGAGGGACAGGATGTTGTCGCGCGCGCGGCGGGGGGCGTGCGAAATCGTGGCAGGCGCAGCACTTTGGCGATGCCGTTGCGAAATCGTGGCAGGCGCAGCACTTTGGCGATGCCGTTGCCGAAGTCGTGGCAGGCGCAGCATTCTGTGCATCTGGGTGTGTGTTTGTGTGGCAGGGGTAGCATTCGGCAGCTGTCTAGAGGGACAGGATGTTGTCGCGCGCGCGGCGGGGGGCGTGCGAAATCGTGGCAGGCGCAGCACTTTGGCGATGCCGTTGCCGAAGTCGTGGCAGGCGCTGCATTCTGTGCATCTGGGTGTGGAGATGCCATTGCCGAAGTCGTGGCAGGCGCAGCATTCTGTGCATCTGGGTCTGGAGCCATTTGCTGGCACACGATGGCCATTGACTCGGACCTGCTGACTTGCGCGTGTCTCGACCTCAGCGACAATTTGAGTTTTGACTGAACACCATGTAGCCGAAGAACATGCCGAGGCGCCTTGGGACCTTGGCACAAAGCTGCTTTCAGTCCTAGCGCCCAGGATCACTTCTCCATTGACTGCTTACTACTTTACTTCGCCGTGGCCGCAGCAGTCTGTCGCCACTGCCCTTTGGACTCGAGCCATTTGCTGCAAGGCATGCGATGGCGACTGACCCACAGGCTGTCTGTGTCTGGCGCATCGCAGATCCACGTGGATCGCAGAGCGCCGAGTGATCCACATGTTTTCTCAAGACTTCTCGGAGCTTGTACCGCTTGGTTGTCGTGTTTGCTGTGCATGTGTGACTTAGCAACGATTTCAAGCAGCTCGAACAGGAAGCCCACTCACGAAGACCGCGCGATGTCGCTGTCGCTGAAGCCTTCGGTCAGCGCAGCAAGAAAGGTAAAAAAAGGTTCGCGCAGTTGTTTGCGGGATGAGGTGACAGAACGCATGCTAGTTGTCTCCGCGATGTTCATGAGCCCTGCCACAAGCTTGCAGCACAACCACTTGCGCACGGTACATGTGTGTGGACATTTGAACTCACATCCTTGGGAAAAACATAGCATGTGGGGTTATCCGGTCCTTTAATTTCCTTTGCTGCCTTTGTCGAATCCTTTGTAGTGTCCTTTACTCCTGTACTTGCCTTTGCTCTTGCTTCCTTTGTAGCCGCCTTTTCCTTTTCCTTTGCCTTTGTAGCTTCTTCCTTTCCTCCATATGTTGTCAACATCCATTGGTGCAGTTCCTCCATTGTAGTTTGTTCCTACTGCTGAAGTAGATCTAGTGAAGGCTGAAATCGTTTTGTAGTAGTCCAGGATGAGTGCTCTGATCTCGATGTAGTTCGTGATCTGTCCAGCTCGCAGTTGGAGGTGTTGCTGCAGTGCTCCTTTGGTTTTGTTGAGTAGTATTGCTATTTTGATTCCATCTGGTAGTGCTGTTCCATTGTCTTTCTCGTAGCGGTTGATGTCGTATTCCCATTGTAGAAATTGTTCTTCAAACTGCGCTTCGTTGAATGTGGGTTCCAGTAGTTTGGTAAGGTAACCAACGCTCCTTGTTCCTACTGGTAGGCTGAACCTGTTGTGTAGTAGTCGTAGTGTTTCACATCCGTTTGCGTTGTAGCGGTTTTGCCTTACTACTGTAGCTGCTGCTCCCTGACAGATGTTGATGAGGATGTAGTGTAGATCTCTGGAGAGGTCTACTGCTTTGCTTGCTTGTGTAGGGTCGAGTATGTGTGTTCTGATGTCTGTGTCCTCAATCTGTCGTGTAGCCACTTGTGCTAGTTGTAGCACCAGGTCGAAGTCTCGGTCTATGAGGCCGAGGTATGCTTGTAGCTTGAACAGCCATTCTTCATACTGGGAGTAGTCACCAGTGAAGAAGGGTGGTGGCAGTTTGTATCTATGTAGTCTCTGAACGTCGTTGTCTTGTTCTGTTCCTGCTCCCGTAGTCGTGGCTCCTACTGTGTCTGCTGTTGGCCCGTTCTCTGCTCCTGTAGTTTGTTGTGCTGAGGCTGATGCTGCTTCTCCTGACATGTCGTAGTAGTTTGGCATGTAGCTGCTGTTGCTCTGTTGTTGTAGTACTTACTGCTTACTGGAGCTCCCCTATGTTTAGGATCTCAGCTCCGCTACCACATTAAAATCGGTGGTTACTTTGCTTACAAGTGCAAGTGCTGTAGTGTTCAAACAAACAGTCAACCAATGTAGTCTGCAGCTGCCAACCTTTTGACTCATGCGGAGTAGTAAGCTCAAGGCCTGCGGTAGTGAACATACATGCAACAACGGTGCAAAGTGAAGCATGTAGTTTGACATCTGTTGTGTTATGTGTTGTGTGTGTGTGCGCCTGCGTGCGTGAGTTGGTGCGTGGGACGGGTGGGTGGGTGGATGGGTGGGTGGGTGGGTGGGTGGGTGGGTGGGTGGATGGGTGCATGTGTGCAGCACCAATCAGGCTTTTACATTGCGAAGCACGTGCCTAGCCCAACTTTGGTATGTTTATCAAAAAGGTCCATCATATGTTCAGTTTGGTTCCAGTAGATGTGTGGCTTGCGTGTTCTTCATATTGGCCAAGAAAAACTCTTTGGCACTTGCCTTGCATATGCCAAGCATTTTTCCAACCCATGATTATCTAATTGCATACTCCTAGCATGATTCAAGTGTATTTCTATCGCTGTTCCACCATGACCTATTACCTTTCTGGCACAGCATTTCGAGGGGTATGCCTAGCGCATGTCGCACATGTCTTTTCTTGCCAGGGTTCCCTTTTCCTTTGTTGGCGGATGTCAACATCACCTGCTGGGCCAGGTTTAAAGTGTGTTTCCCTTGAGTGGGGTGATGTTGAAGGGAAAATGTAGGGAGCCCCGTATGGTCAAGATATGTTTGCCTGATTCAAGATGTCCAGTATGTGCCTAGCTGCTAGCTTCATGAGCTGCATCATCTAGCATATGTCACGCGCCTGTCATATGTCTTGTATATAACTGTATTCGGTTAATTTGAGCTCCATTGCGTCTGAGAGCAATGTCTAGTTTATGCCTAGGACTTTAACTTTTTGGGGACACAGTGGATTTTGCTTTGGACTCACAAACAGGTTAAACTTTTTGTCAACAGCAACCAAGTTCTTGTCGCGTTGGCCAATTTGTCATACAGAGGTTGCATGTTGCCCCTCTTTGAGATACGGGATTTGATGATGCATATGGTAGCTTCAGGTAGTGTGATCCGGCGCCGGGGCCCGGTCTGGATAAGACCCATCAAAGAGTTGACTGCATTGCAACGCCGAAAAGAAAGTCGTATGCAAAGGCCCATCGTGTGGTTTGCCGGATAGGGTATCTTCAGGTTGCGGTTGCGTCTGCCATGTGGGCAATCAGCTCGGGCCCCACAGAATATTCCAAGGTGTTATAGCATGAATGCGTAAGTGCGCGCGTAAGTGTGTGTGTGTGTCTCAAAACTAGGCACTGCTTTTGAGAGTCTCCAATTCGAAACACACTCACCCACTCACATAGGTGTCCCTTCTAGTTGCTTTGGTAAAAAAAACAAGATGGCGATTCCTGGTTTACCTGGTGGTTTAATCATCCACTAGGGCCATCTATTTCCACTAAAAGGACACCTATGCTCACCCATTTGTTTTTTGTGAGCTCGCCGTTTCGAGGTGGCTTTGCAGTTGGGCGCGAACTTGACAGACCTCGGCGCACAGGGCCTGCAGCGGCTCTTGAGCTACGCAGGCCGCGTTCAGTTTATTGATCGATCGAGCGGCTCCCGGGGGGCCGGGGCGCGAGGGAGATGTTTGAGATGGCGCGTCCATGGGTCACATGCGTTGTCAGAATTCTGAGCCTTAAGGGAAAGCTACGCCCAGACTTTCACAAATGGGCATGGGTCAAAATTAGTCACCACCAGGAATTGGACCACAGGTTTGAGTCATTGTTTCCATTTACCAGGGCAAGCCATTTTGGGGTTACCCTATTTTTGGACCCACAGCCAGATTTTGGAGATTGGTAGCCCCTTTGTTGAAGGGCAGCCACAAGGAACACCGTTGAAACCGTGCCAATTGGTATTTTTTTCGGTTGGACCCGTTCGAGGGTCCAACCGAAAGAAAAGGCGCCAGATGGGTCCCCCCTTTTTCGAGGTTCCCCTGGCCGTTTTTTCTTGCGGTTCCCGGATTTTGAGGTTCCCGGCGGGGGTTTCCTGGAAGCCAAGATGGAAAGCCAGAAATGGCATGGCTCCAAAAGTCAAAAGGTCCCCCCGAGTTTTCGGACGTGTGGAGTTAAAGTCTTGGCAAGACGATTGGGAGAAGTGAAAGCTGTTTGTGTTTCCCTTCGAATACGAGGACCAATTCCGGTGGATTTTGGTTGATGTTTCTTTTGAGACCGATGACCAGAAGAAATCTCCGCAGACAAAGCTTCCATCGAGACCCTGGCTGTGACCAACAGGTGGCCGAAGACAAGTTGACAACGGGATCTACTCCCCAGGCCCTAGTTCAATGTCATATGTGTACACACACGCTATGATATAAGCTATACTTAGTGTAGAAACAATATTGATTTTTTCAGTGCTGCTGAGTTCAGTCTGGGCGGGCAGGCGGAGCTTTCATCTACCTGAGGGAGAATTATGCCAAGCGGCTAAAGCTGATTGGCGACCTGGCTGGGCGGTTTTTGACGGAAAGACACCTCCCTTGTTTCTTCGCTGGATGGTTCATCCGGGTCTGTCTTTTTTTAGGGTACCCTAAACATTGGTTGCTTGAAAAGGAGACCAAAAGGAAACCAGCCATTGTTGGGGTTGCGCTATTTTAAGACATGCCTACATAGGTGGTTCCCTCATTCCCTTTCACTTGTTTGCTTGTTTGCTCGTGGCCCATGAGTCAATGAGGCTGTGGCTCGAATTCATGTACCAAAATGCCACCTTGGCAAATGGAACCAAAGACAAGAACCTGCGCAACCCCAGCTCTTGAATTTCGAGAAAACACCCATGATTGTGGTCCCTCCCCCTTGAGCCACGTGCTCAAAACCCGGGTAGATGTAGGTTAGTAAGGGGCAGTCCCAGCCAGAAATAGTTTCTTGTAGCATGGTTCTGGGCTTACGACCATTTTAATACCGGGTTTTGATTGTGACTCCCTTGGTGTCTGGCGCATTCCTTTCGCCCAGGTAGTAGCTGGAAGATTGCGGCAGGCACCAAGGAGGAGGAAGCGGCCATGGAGGAGGAGGAAGAGGTGGGTGCCGGGTGGGGCGGTGTCAAGCCGGAGGACGTTACAGTTTTTTTTTGGGGTGGGGAGGGGGGGGTTGGGGCGAGTTTCTTTTTCTTTTTTTCCGGTGGGGAGGGTGAGGTGGGGGTGGGGGCAGGGGCGGTGACTCAAACACACTGCTGCCGTAGTACCCTTGCCACAAGCACGTTGGACACGGCGTGAGCATAGTGGGAACAGGGGAGTAGGGGCAGTAGGGGTGTATGGTTCAGAAGATCGCCTCGTTGGTCTCCAGAGGCTAAGTCTTAACGACTGACCAGGCGACCACCAAAGAAGCTGTGGCTCAAGACGAGTCGGAGTCTGACGACGAGTACGAAGGCCGGAGGGTTCCGACGAAAAAGTGTAAAAGCCAGCGGGTTGATTGGGTGAAAGTGCCAACCTGACGGTGGGGGCTTTGTTCCTGGGCCCACAACAAAGAAGCGGTTCACTGAGGGAGCCGGACGGATGGGTTGCAGCCGCGAAGCCTGAGAAATGCTTGCTCTTGAACTACGGTTCCAGTTCTGATCAAGAGAGCTGCCCATATGGTTTGCCAAGGGCGCGATTTCTAGGGGGGAGCCGACATGCTGCGGAGTGCGCCAGTCTGCGAAACACAGCCTCTTCGTGGAGCATCAAGCAAACCTCGGAGATTCCCGTCCTTGGTTTAGACGTTTGCAGGCTGAATTTGGCGCACAAGTCATTCTTACATGATTTGCTTCCAGGAGCACCTTTGTCTAAGCTGGTTTCCTACATCAAGGACACCCACTCCGTTTGTCCCTAGAGGTTTGTCATGTAACCCTTGGTGTTTTGGTTTGGATCTGGATGTTTTGGTTCCTTGAGGGATTCGACAAACACCAGGCTGGAGTTGCTTCTTGCTTTTGCGGAGAACCAGAAAGACGTCCGGCATATGTTGGGGTCCGAGTCAGGGGCTAGACCAGTTTTTTGGTTGGGCGGGCCCTTTCGATCGATTTGAGGCCTGAGGGTCAGGCAGCAAACTGAGGAGCCCAAGTCGAGGTGCGCCAGGCACGGAAATTCGGGTTTCGCTCGCTTTCCCGTGAAGACTGGCAGGCTTTCTCTCGGAGGAAAATGGCGAAGGGTTCCTTTTTCTACAAACGGCTGCACCACTTCTGCCAACTTGTCGGGTGTTGCTTTGCCTTCTTGTCCTGCCAGCTTGTCGGGTGGTACTTCACCTTCCTAAAGACAAAAGATAGCTTTTCTTCGGCACCACCGCTTCTCGAGTCTGAATTCTTCATTTTTTGCTCTGGGTAGGCCGGACGGGGGCTATTGAAACGCGCCCCTCTGCAGAGATTTGTGTCTTGCTCTCGGCGAAGTTGCAAAGAGGCTCCGGCCCGAAAGTCGCAACTTTTTAAGTGCAAGAGTAGCAAGCCAAGTACGCTTTTCCTGCTGCGCAAAGGACGCTGAAGCTGGACACAGGCCCGCAGAAAGAGCAACCCACATACTCAGCTGACGCGTTTCTGTCGTATCTTTTGTTTGTGTCGAGCGAAGCCGCTTGAAGCAGGAATGCTCGAAGTTCGCAACATTTAAGGACCAAAGTAACACGCGAAGCGCTCGTCCAGCTGCGGCTCGGAACGCAGAAGTAGCAGGCAAAGTGCAGTGTTCCAGCTGCGGCTCGAACATCGCAACTTTGAAGCGCGAAAATTTGTCTTCGAAGAGCGCTCCCGCAGCACGATCGCGCAGCGTGGAACTTGCATCCCGCAAAGTACGCCTTTCACAACACGAGGTGTGCTCAGCACGGTTCAGGGTAAAAGTCGGATGTGAAGTGTGCCCATGGCAACTCTTCCGTGACGAAGAAGTACACGGTCAGTATACGTAGACAACCAATCAGATGCACGGAGTCTCTATCGCCCAACGCTGCGTCTTGCGAAGTTGTGCGTAAATCCGGGCGCGTCATCTAGTCTTTTTGTGAGCTTGGCGGCTCAGGAGTCCCTCAAATTCACCTTTTGGAGCTGTGGCGACACTGGATCCTTCCAGTCAATTGCAAGGGGAAAGCTAGGGACCCCTGCCCGACCCAAAAAGGGTACGCCTTGAGTTTGGTATAGTTTGGTGCTTGGGAGGCTGCCCTTTGTCAGCTTGGTTAGAGTCGCCAAAAGGGAACCCCGATTTCTTTTTGGGGTCTCCCTATTGTGAGACACCAATTTGGAACCCAGAAAGGAAGAAGCCGGGACGCGCATCTTTGACCCCGACACACATAGCAGTCCACAATTGCTTGGGATGGCAAGGCTTTGTGGACGAAAAGAAGCAAAGCAAAAGAAAAAGAAGAAGCAGCAGGAGGAGGCAAGCCAGATGACCCAGGAGATGCAAGTATTCGCCAATTCTTCTTTCGCCCGTCGTGCGCATTACCAGGGGCCTGTTTGATTCATTGAAGTGTGTCCCTGAGAAGCCGGGAGTGAAATTGATCTGTCTGCTTTCTTTGGAGTTGGTACCCATTGATTTGGAGACCAAAACGAAGGCCACAAAGAATAGGGGGTCCCACCGGGGAAAAAGAAGCACGCCCAGACGGGTTTGCCTTCTTGAAGTTTCCCTCGTGTATTTTTGAGGTTTTTGCCCAGATAGCCCTGCTAACTCGCGCGCAGGAGAACCTCCAGGCCGCTTGACGTGAAGAGCCCGCACCCGGGTCATGAGTTTTTTGTGGGTGAGGTTTCCTTTTGGCTTCCCGAAAACGCAACACACATAAAAAGAAAAGACCGACCGACACACGCAAATGGCGGACTGTATTTTTCCCAGACTTGCAGAAGAGTTTGCAGAGTCGAGTTGTCCAGAGTGATGAACAGATTCTGCAGCCTTGCAGAAGCATGAGTTAAAGTGCCGGAAAGGCGGTGACAGGATCGGCCTCAGTCGCACGTTGCCAAAGCTGCCAAAGCGGGCGCCACGTGAGGCGGTGCCGCGGACCTTCGAGGCCATGTTCCGCTTCAACGCGGCCGTGATGGGCGTGTCTCGGCACGAGTGGATGTACCAGGCGCGGGCCAGCGGGCGAGAGACGGACCCGGAAGCGCGCGCCAGTCGGGGTGATGCAAGGAATTGGTGCCGGAAGCAAAACGTGGATCAAGGTTTGTAGCGGACAGAACCCGTTTTGGAATTTTGTGGGTAACGGTAGACCCCTTCACTTGTGACTCAGGTGGGTGGCGGACAAGGATACGGAAGAAGAGCAACGGGTCCAAGCTTGCATCAAGAGGTGTTGTTCACATGAAGCCCTGTTTTTTTTCTTTCTGCTAGCATGTCGTAAACCCATGGGAAACCCGTTGACACTCCGGCAATCTCAGGCGTGTTTCAACGAGGTGTTCTTTTTGCGACGTGCCAACAGATAGTTCGCCTCTTTTTCCGCAGCAGCAGAAGCCAAATGGACCTTTCTTTGCCGTTCCGATACCAATGGAGCTTTTTTTTCCCCCTGTTGTTTTTGTTTGTCCAGCGTGGGTGCGGCTCAAAAGCAAACAGTGTAAACCGCGTTTTTTCTGCTCTTTTCCCATACAGAAAGGTGCGGTTTCGGGAATCGTTGTTGAGCCGCAGCCACAAGGTACTTGGCTTGGTCGGGGTTGACCCCCTGGCTCCCAAAGTTTCTCCGCCAAATGCGTGGCTTGTCCTTTTCGATGGTTCCTCTTTCGCTCATAATTTTTTTTGGGCACCAAAAGGAGACCCTTGCCACGCCCAATGGCTTTTTTCCGGGAACCAACCAGCCAGCAACATTTCTGCTCAAAAACGGAAAGGACGGCCTACGAAGACCACAAGTCCCCAAGAATCGAAGACCCCGGAGTCGAATCGGGCGCGAAGCGCGGCGCGAAGCGCGCGAAGTGCGAGGTCCTGGGCTCCTTCGATGCCATGGTGCACAACATCTCGCAGTCCAATGCCTTGCAGGCGCAACTCGAAGCCTTGCGGAGGGCGGCCTGGAATCTTCCCAGCGTGGTTTTCTTGAAACAAGCCCGGGGCGGACGAAAGAAGAAGACGCCAAGATGCATTTCGGAGGGTCTTTGCATTGTTTGGAACCCATGTTGGTGTGAGGGTACTTTTTTCGAGAGAAACAAGCATCTTGGATTGGCTTGCTTGTTCCGTGGATACAAAATCGGGGCTGCATCCATCCCAACTGGCACAGGATGTTGTCCATTCATGTTTTTTTTGTGGTTGTATTTGCAATAAAACAAATTGCACCCACGCATTTTTAGGGCTTCCCCTTAGAGACGACCCCACGGCAGGCGCCAGCCCAAGGGTGGTTTTCGGAAGAAACTGGGCCCTTGATGCTCCTAGCTTCAAATGGATCCGAACGGCCTGCTTTTTGTGTGCTTGATGCATTCGAGAATTGCAGCGTTGCCTGATTTTCAGGGCCGCAGGCTTGTATTTCTTGCTGGTTTTTGCTTTCCCTTCGTGTTTGCATGACGTTCAGCTTGCATGAGGCTCCGTGCCCTTGAGAGAGATGTCAAATATCATGTTGCACTACTTGTCACTTGTGCATGCATGATGTACACTACCCGACTGCAGGCCTTGAGTCTACTAGGAAAAGAGTGCATGCTGGCTGACTACATTTGTGTTTGTGATAACTGAACAACACTTGCACTAGAAGTAAAGTATCAACGTATTTTAACGTGGTAGCGGAGCTGAGATCCTAAACATAGGGGAGCTCCAGTAACAGCAGTAAGTACTACAACTGCACAGGCAACCAACATGCCCAACTACTACGACATGTCAGGAGAACCAGCAGCAGCATCAGCGCAACCAACTACAGGAGCAGACAACGGGCCCACAGCAGAAGAGACAATAGGAGCCACAACTACGGGAACAACACAGGAGCAGGAAGACGTCCAAAGGCTACACAAATACAAACTGCCACCACCGTTCTTCACTGGTGACTACTCACAGTATGAAGAGTGGCTGTTCAAACTACAAGCATATCTCGGACTTATCGACCGAGACTTCGACATGGTGCTACAACTAGCACAAGCAGCTACAAGACAAATTGAAGATGCAGACATCAGAGCCCACATACGCGACCCTACACAGGCAGCAAAAGCAGTAGACCTCTCACGAGATCTACACTACATCCTCATCAACATCTGCCAAGGAGCAGCAGCTACAGTGGTTAGACAAAACCGCTACAATGCCAATGGATGTGAAACACTACGGCTTTTGCACAACAGGTTCAGCCTACCAGTAGGAACACGCAGTGTTGGCTACCTCACCAAACTACTGGAACCTACATTCAATGAAGCACAATTTGAAGAACAATTCCTACAGTGGGAATACGACATCAACCGCTACGAGAAAGACAACGGCACAGCACTACCAGATGGAGTAAAGATTGCAATACTACTCAACAAGACCAAAGGAGCACTCCAACAGCATCTCCAACTACGTGCTGGACAGATCACGAACTACAACGAGATCAGAGTTGTCATCCTGGACTACTACAAAACCATCTCTGCATTCTCAAGAGCGAGCTCAGCAGTTGGCACAAACTACAATGGTGGGACAGCACCGATGGACGTGGACAACATTTGGAGAAAAGGAAGAAACTACAAAGGCAAAGGCAAATATGGAGGCAAAGGACACTACAAAGGAAACAAAGGAAAAGGTAAGTACAGAAGCAAAGGCCACTACAAAGGATTCGACAAAGGCAGCAAAGGAAACTACAACAAAGGAGGATACAACAAGAACAAAGGAAAAGGCTACTCAGGATCCAAAGGACATGGATCAAGCAAAGGCTACAAAGGCCAAGGAAACTACAGCAAATCAAAAGGAAAAGGAAACAACAATTACACAACACGCCATCGATGTGGCAAACCAGGCCACTGGGCACAAGACTGCAGAGTGCCAGTATGGCACATAGGAGAAGGAGAAGAACTACATCCACTAGAACAAGAACAAGCAGATCACGACAACAATGAAGAACTACCTCAGGATGTGAACGACACTTGGGACTGGTACTACGAAGGAGAAGAAGGACAACACGAGGTGAACTACATGGAGGAGAACTGGAACGACTACGACTATGACAACAGCTGGGATTGGAATGACAACAGCTATGAGGACACTGCAAACTACATTGGAGGCATCAACGAGTCACACCTCACAATTGGACACATCAGACAAGCAAACTCACGACTACACAAGCACAAATCCAAATCACTACTTGGCAAGAGAACAACACACACAACATCATGGAACGACCACAGCAAGAGCTTTCAACAATTCCTACAAGAAGACAACACACAGCCACACTTTGATATAGCAGCAGCCAGACAACAACAAAGGAACAAGAAGATTGAGAACACTATCACACACTACATCATGTACTCCAACTTCAAGTCATACCACCACCTGCTGATCGACTCAGGAGCGTCTACACACGTTTGCCCGAAGGACTACGCACCAGACCTACCGCTACGACCTTGTGGAGAATCGGTTCCACAACTCTACACGGTTACCAACAAGAAGATTCCTGTCTACGGCATCAAGTATGTTCCCTACAAGCAGACAACTTCAGGATCATGATACCCTACTACGTTTGTGATGTGAAGTACCCAATCCTCAGTGCATCAAGACTACTTGATAGAGGATATGGACTTGACTTCACTCCACGACACTGCACCATCACACATGGACAACAACAAGCACACCTCATCAGACACTCAGGACTTTTCTACCTACGAGCAGAGAAGATCGACATCCCTACAGGATTCGACATCTATCCAATGACTACAGACAGTGGAAAATCCATTGCTGTGATTCAACCTACAGAGAGAGCAGCACAACAACAAGAACAAATCGCACCACTCACACACACAGACCAAGGACTACGACAGATCCTTGGTGGAAACACTGACTACTGGAAACTTGATGGTGACTACGCCATCAGAGTACACAAACGACCACGCAAAGCACTATTCACACCACACAACAGTGGTTGCCCAATACCTGAAGAAGAACTAGATGATTGGCGACTAACCATCATCAACAGACAAGGGCAAGAGCAAGAACAACTACAAGAGAACCCAACACAACTTTCCAAGCAAGAACTACAACGAAGACTAGAAGGTGACAACTGGACTGGAGAAACCAGATTCAGAAGAAAGATAACACCTACACGCAGAGCAACATCAAAGACAACACCAACAAGGCAGAGCTCACAACCACAACGGCTAATGGACACACCACCAACCAGATCAAAGATCCAACTACGAGCACCACAAAAGATATGGAGACCTAAAGCAGCACCTTCTACAAATCTTGACACCACACAACCAAAGGAGACAATCCACAGACCACTCGCAGCACAGGAGGACAACCAAGACTACTGGGAAAGACAAGGTGAACACTGGATAAGACACCACACATCACTTAGAACAACTCTATTCACTCCAACAGATGGACCAGGACATCCACCAATCAGCACACTCGAACCTCACAGAACTACAATCACTCACAACAACTTTGGAGAAGTTTCCCAACGCAAAGATGACTGGACAGTCATGGGCAACGCAGCACTACCATTTCAATGGAAAGGAACAACAAGGTTCACCGTGAAGAAAGACTACGAGTACATCCAGGAGAACCACGATGAGGAACAACAACACGAGCATCATGAAGCACACAGAGCAATAGGACTACGACAACCTCAGCAGCCCACTCCACAACAAATAGCAGAACACAACTTGACACACCTACCATACAGAAATTGGTGTCCAATTTGCGTTCAAGGCAAAGGACGCCAGGACAACTACAAGAAACAACAATCACGACAACCCATCATCCAAGTGGATTTTGCCTACATCAAATCACAACAAGATCCGAAGACCATACCAGTCTTAACGGCAGTTGATGTTACTACACAACTGTGCATGGCGGTATTGGTTCCGGACAAACCATCAATGATGGACTACATGATCAACAACCTACAAGCATTCATCTTTGAATGCGGAAGAACACACGGCATACTACAAAGCGACAACGAAGACACACTCAATGCACTACTACAAGCAACAGCATCTAAAGTCGGCTCAATGACTGTACGACATTCACCATCCTACAGCAGCAACAGTCAAGGAAGCGTTGAGCGACTACATAGAACACTTCTCGGACAAATCCGCGTCGTCAAAGCTCAGGTTGAAAGCAACTACAGCATGACGATGTCCACAAAGCACTGTCTACTACCTTGGATAGTACGACACGCAGCATGGACGGTAAATCGCTACGTCATTCACTCAGACGGCTACACAAGCTTCGAACGCCGCTGGGGAAGAAACTACGAGCGAGCAATCTGCGAATTTGGCGAGACACTACTCTACCTTCCACCACAACACAAGAAACTCCCAAAAGCAGACCTACGGATGCAGAAATGCATCTGGCTCGGAAAAGTTTCCGAAACCGGAGAAAACTACGTCGCAACGGAATCAGGCGTACAAAAGGTACGAACAGTGCGGAGACTACAACCGGACTTCAAATACGACCTCGCACTATTGAACAAAGTTTCCGGCACACCGTGGGCACCACGACGGAACACCTACAACCCATCGTTCGCAACACTGTTGGATGCGCAACTACCACCGTCAGAGAAAAGAAGGTCCACGCAAGATTTCGGACAACAAACGAACGCTACGGACGACATCGTTGCGGAACCCGCAACAAAACAACAACGCACCACACCACCTCCACGACTTCCGTCAACATCGACGTCAAGTTCACGACCACTACCGGATAGTCCGATGGCTACTTCACCAACCGGACGACAACATCCACCACTCCCAGCACCACCTCGACAAACACTACGACGTTTAACTCCGGAAGAAGTAATGCAACCCACTAAAGCACAGAAGACCTCAAAGGACACTACAATCAGATCAACGGAGCAAAGCAACCAAAGAACCACCGCCACTACGACAGAAAATTAACGCAGTGACACTTCCCAACGGCAAATTCATCACACCCTACACAAACGACGACACCTCAGAAGACCAACCCATAATCTTCGACAACGAAGGTTACGACGAAACACAACTACTGGAAGGAATGAAACACGAGTCAAATCAAATGAAGCTACATGACGTCTACGACGAAGTAGATGCGTCTACCGTCGACGACAACGTCATAAGAGAAGCGATACCTACTAGATGGGTACACAGGAAGAAAGGACCAGGAGTGCGAAGTCGAATCGTCGCAAAAGGCTACACAGAGAAGATCGAGGACGAAGACTCCGTCTACGCCTCTACACCAATGTTCACGACACTCCGGACACTTCTCGCACTACAAATGTCACGACCAAACTGGATCGCGCGACTAGGTGACGTCTCTACAGCATTTCTACACGCACCCATCGCAAAAGACCACGACGGTAAACAACGTGACGTCTACCTTTGGCCACCTAAAGAACTTTGTCCACAACAGGACAAAATCTGGCGACTAAAGAAAGCCATGTATGGACTACGCAGTTCACCAAAAGCATGGCAGGACTACCTGGCTGAAGTGTTACAAAAGCTCAGCTTTGTAAGACTAAAGTCAGAACCTAACGTCTACACCAATGCAACTCGCGACTGCTACATCATGGTCTACGTGGATGATCTCTTGGTACTTGGTGACAAGACTACTGTCGACTCCACCTTCGAGGCCATCCAGAAGCAGGTCCTACTCAAGCACATCGGCTACCTCGAACCTGGCAAACCACAACAATTTCTTGGAAGAAACATCGACCACTTTGGCAACTACTGCAACCTGGGACTAAAGGACTCCTACATCGACAACATGATCGAGGAGTCTGGAATGAACAACTGCAACCCAGTGAACACTCCAGGAATTGCACACTACAAACCGACAATAGAAGATGAAGCACTACTTGACCACGAACAACACAAAAGGTACAGAAGGATTGTTGGCAAACTACAATGGTTAGCATACACACGACCAGACATCGCATACTCCACAAAAGAACTAGCACGAGACCTCACAGCACCTACAGAACTCTCACAAAAGAGAGTCAAACATCTACTGCTACTTGAACGGCACCAAGCACTACAAATTCACCATAGAACCAACAACAACACTCCGAGCAAACACTAACAACATCCTGGATCTCGACGTTCATGTCGATGCCGACTGGGCAGGATGCCCTACTACCAGGAAGTCAACTTCAGGTTTCAACATCATCTTTTTAGGAACAACAGTTGCATTTGGCAGCAGAACACAAGCTACAATAGCACTCAGCTCAGCAGAGTCTGAACTCTACGCCATTTGCACAGGAGTCAATGAGGGACTACACCTCAGAAACTTCCTACTTGAAACCAACATTTGCAGCAAGCTAAATCTACGCATCCACACAGACTCCACAGCAGGCAAGAGCATTGCTACACGACAAGGCACTAGCAAACGAGCAAAACACATCGACCTTAAATTTCTCTACACACAAGACCTCATCAAGCACGACATCATCAGAATCCTCAAAATCAACACAATACACAACAGCTCAGACTTGTTCACAAAATACATTAGCAAAGAAACACTACAGAGGCTCATACAGAGCATTGGCATACGTGTTTAGCACTACGAACAACAATTCACAACTGTTGCACATCAATCACAACAGTTTGTGTATGGCCATATGTAACTACCTGCATTCAAGTAACAGTAACAGTAACAGTGCCTACGAGTAATAGTAATTGTAACCACCAGTAATTTGCACTTGCACTTTTGGCGGCTTTTGGCGGCTTGAGTCAACACTACATGTTGTTTTGTGTTTTACTACATGCCCGCATGTGCTTTTGTGAGCTAACATTGGCTTACTACTGTCTGCCCCGTTTCACTGCATCTCGATAGGCCAAACTACCAGCAATGGCTGGAACTACGCCCATGGATGCGACTACGCTGGATGTCATGCCGATGGAGGTTACTACATCAGCGCCAGAGACTACCCGTCGAACAACAGGCTGGCAGTACTACACCGGACCGTGTTTTCACACCACCGGATCGGCAGGGCACTACCGACTCCGGCAGCATGGCTACTTTGGCCACTCCACCACCTGAGGCCTACAACTCCCTCAACTACAACTTCAATCACCAACTACCCACACCGGCACCTTTCTACAGACCCGACGACATCTTGGCACACCTCACTACAACTGAGAACAACATCCCCGACACTCCAGCGATCGACCCGGAGCAGAACTACTTCAGGGTCTACGCGGCTTTGACGCTCGAGGAGTTCCAACTACTAAGTCAACAACAAACTACACCCATCCCCGAGCTCAACTACAACCTACCAGTTCACGACCTACCTTCAGACCTACGGATGCCACACTACGACTCACTACCTCTTCACCTACGTCTTTCAGAGGCAGTCAACTTCTACTACTACAACCTTACATCACTACACCTCACAACCCAGTACACCAACTCGATGGTCATTATCCAGCTACACATTCCACCAGAAGTTCTACTACGATTTGTCAGCGCTGGACAACTCGTCAACTTCTGCCGCGACTACGTGAGCCACATGATTTCCATCAAAGCTGAGCACCACCTACCTACACGCCAGCTACATCAACGACTACACCGAATCACCTACAACTTGGACCAGATCACCACTACATTCAACCTGTCCAACAACTTCATTTGGAACTATCACATGCCCCTGTACCTACCAGAACTACTCAACTACTTCGACCCACCACAACAACTTCAAGACCACCACTACAAGTCCATCAACACGATGCTACACAAAAGTGTCACCTACTACGGCATCACCCTCCTCACGGCTACAAATCTTTCCATGCAACACAAACTACTACTCCACAACTACCTCACTACCACCGGCCAAGCACTTGCACCACCGGAATGCGACTACAACCGCCTTCGTGGCGGTCCAGACTTCCTCAACACATTCACTACCAACCACTATGCAGGCTTGGACTACCGCATCAGCCAAGTCCAGAACTACCGAGTCCAACACTGGACTAAGCACACCTGATCTCCAGGTGGAGCTGCAACTACGTGCTGTACTACGTCATCGTACTACGAGATGACTGAGAACCAACTAGGGTTCTTGTACAGCAATTTCACTTTTCTGATCATTTGAAGGTTAGTTGAACTACAGACAGCAGCGCTGTAGATACCTACCTTCGGTCATCTTTTTTAAGAGACTACATGCCTGTTCGCTACAGTAGCATCGGCAAACAACATGTGCATTCGTTTTTGCCACTACTGTCAATACCACCTTTTGGGTCTATGGTTAAAGGACACTACAAGGTCTTTTAACCAAGGGGCCGTGTCAAATATCATGTTGCACTACTTGTCACTTGTGCATGCATGATGTACACTACCCGACTGCAGGCCTTGAGTCTACTAGGAAAAGAGTGCATGCTGGCTGACTACACTTGCACTAGAAGTAAAGTATCAACGTATTTTAACGAGAGAGAGAGAGAGAGAGGGAGAGGCGCGAAAAAGATACAATGCGTAAAACAGCATGTTTGGTTTGTTGTGTTCCTTCAGCTCCCACGACAGGAAACAAGGTTTGCTCTCTTGTCCCCCGCGGGACCAAGTCCTTTGGGGCAGCAACCCTGTTTTAGGGCATAGTTTGCTCTCAGCTTGTTGGTTTGGTCGCATTTTCTCGTGTTTCCTGCCCTTCTTCTGGTGGAGTCCTTGCTAGGCCAATTTCCGATTTCCCCAGGAGCCCGAAAGGGGAATGTCCACTTTGTGTCCAACCCAAAGGGGAAAGAAAACACTAAAGACGGGCCAACAAAAAGACTGGATTTTCGCGTCTCCGTCGGGTTCTCCAAGGGGATCAGAAGCCAAAAGAACATGTCTATTTTGGGGTACTAAGCGACACACCCTCATGGGTGCCGGTCATGTTTTGGATATATCAAGGGCTGGCTAATCGCTGCAAGCAACAGTTTCCTCCTATCAGGTTTGGTTCAATAGCGTTCTTTCAGGTATGTGTTTTTTTTAGGGGGCCCCCAAAACTGTGGTTTCCTTTTGGTTCCCACCAACAGAGGGTCCTCAAACACCAGGAACATCCACGTAGGCCCAATTTCCCCCTTGTCCCCCCCTTCGGGTCCGCCCGGGTCAGGTGGAGTGCAACGTGGTGTCGCTGCGCATCGCCAAGGTGCACGGGGAGGTGAAGTTCAGCACCTTCAAGGCGCGGCGCGGCGCGCCGGCGCGGCGCGCCGATCGGCGCTTGGCGCGCGGCGCGCGGTCCGCTTGCTTCGGATGGGACCGTTTCCGGGGGAGAAATACAAAAGATGCCCAGCGGGCCGGCTTGGGGATCTATACTTGTGTTGATTTTGAACCGTCAGCAAAAAGGACGTGTTTTTTGTTTGTGTTTCCGGGTGCTTTCAAGAAAAATGCCGAACAGAGAGTGCGGATTTTGCAAGAAGTCCATGGTCACCAAGTTGAATCCCTTGCAGTTTCGAGCCGAAAATCGGGCTTGGCAGACATTGCTGCACAAGATTTACAGGAACCCTGGTGCCCCTTTAGGACACACACTGAGAGGTGTAAAGAGCAGTGGTTTGAACCTTAAAGGCCTTGGCTCCGCGTAGTTTCTCGGGTTCTATGCTTCCCTGGTACAGTGGAACTGACTTTATGAACTCGAGTCGATCCAAAAGCTGCCCTCTCACAAACAGTAAGCTCTTCATTTGAATATGTGAGGGTTGTTTGAACCCTTATCACCTCAAGAGAGAAAAACAAACCTAAAGACTGGGCAGCACGTGTTCTTCTTCTTTTTTTTCCTTCTTCTATTTTTCAATTATTTTCTTCTTCTGTTTTTTTCTTCTTTTTTCCCCCCTTTTTTCTTCTTCTGCAGTTTCGTTTTCCCCTTCCGGCCTTTTTTTCTTCTTCTTTTCTTGGCATGTTTTTTTTTCTTCTTCTTTTTTTCTGTCTTTGTTGTTTGAAGCCATAACTAAATCCTCTTTCCCCAAGCCAACAGATCTTCTCGTGAGAACTTTTCCCCGTGAGGCGGTGATGCTCTCCACGCTGCGGGCCATGCTGCCCACGGTGCGGATGCCCAGAGAGACCCGAGAAAAGGGCCCGGGAGCCGGCTCGGCTTGGGGCAAGGAATCCTTTTGAGGTCGACGTTTCTTTTTGAGGATGTGGATTGTGTCGGTTTAGGAATTGACCCTTTTCCGACTTTTCCTTTTTTTAGTCAACCCAGTTGATGGATAGCGGGGTGTTGCGAGTCCCTGGGTGAAATGTGGGGAATCGGACTACTTTTGGAGGGGCTTTTCCCCAACCCCCCTGTTGATGAACTGGGGTGATGAACATGGGGTCCACATTTCCGGGGTTAAAGGATGTCAGTTCTGGAATTGACCTTAGTGCAGTGGTGCGAGATTTTGGGATTGGCTTGGTGAAGAGCCCAGCTTCAGTGATGCGTGGACAAATCCTTTGATGTGACGGGGTCAGGACATCCCAATGGACCCTCGCAAACCCCACATAGAACTTTGCCCCGGGCCCTGCCAAGCACGCCAAACCCAAAATGGGTTTTTGTTAGTCACACCCCCAGGGGGGGGTTTTGTCGGGGCTCCTTCGGCTTTGGATGTGCTTGTTTGGTCGAGGGAGCAGAAGAGGAAATCGCGAGGAATGGACTTTCGATTGTCCGAGTTTGTGATGTGGGACCGTGGGTTATGGGTAGGGGAGTTTCAAGCCTTTGCTGATGAAAGTAACTAGGCTTTTTTTTGCCGAGGGTACCTCTTTTGGTTGTTTTGAAAGAAAGCCAAGAGGTGCACTACTATTTCGGGGGGGTCAGGGGTCCGATTCCCAAAAGAAAAGACACCCCCAGATGGGAATTGAACTCGGATCTACTGAAAATCACCGGCATTGCGAGGAGTGGGGTCCCGACTACGAGACTGCCTGGAACTGGCTGTGGAGAACCATTGAGCGGCTGCTGAGCAAGGACACCGAGTCCAGCTCTGCAGCGCCTCTTTGTTTTTGGACTTCCAAAGGGCAAACACCACGGCACACCCCCGCTCCAACATGCTATTCCCCCTTCTCAGAGCGTCGTTTGTGTGTCTCTCGGGCTTTTCCCCCTGAAACCCCCCCAAAAAGTCGGATTTCAAAACCCCCCCCCCGGGACGGAACATTTCTCAGGCCAAAACGGCCGGCTCGCCCGTTTGGGACTCCCGGCTGTGGGACCCGGGAGGAGCTGAAGAAGCCGAAGGCGCGGGAGCGGCTGCTGAGCCGGTTCCTAGGACCGCCCCCCTCCCCCCCGATTTGTTTTCTTCTTCTCCTCCTTTTTGTTTAAGTGAAAAACGGCGTGGGGCGGTGTTGTTTTTTTTGTGTGTGTGTTTTGTTGGGGGTTGTTGGGTTTTGTTGGGTTTGCGAGGTGGTTTTTGTTGTGCTTGGTTTCTTTTGTGTTGTTGGGTGGTTTTTGGTTTGGCAGATGGGAGGTGTGGGTGTTGTTGGTTTTGTTTGTTAGGTGTTAGTAGGACAGTTTTTTGTTTGGCCTAGCCCTGGCACAGGGCTAACCCCGGCAGGTGGTTGGCTGGTTGGTTGGTTGGTTGGCTGGCTGGTTGGTTGGTTTGTTGGTTGGTTGGGTTGGTTGGTTGGGTTGGTTGGTTGGTTGGTTTGGTTGGTTGGTTCGTTGGTTGGTTGGTTGGTTGGTTGGTTGGTTGGTTGGTTGGTTGGCGCCTCGGAAGGACGAAGGTTTGGGATGGGTGCCACTTACCTTAAACCACCCCTACGCCCACTTAAACACAACCACGACCGAAGCCAATTTCAATCCCACCCTAAACCCACCCGAGACCAAGCACAGCCACCCCCAAATTTTGCTCTCAATAGGCCTGGAACCCCCCAGAGCCAAGCCTGAGCCAACCTGGAACCCACCCTAAACCCAACCTAAACCAAAGCCTGGTGATGCTGAGGATGTTGAAAACGATGCTGAAGGATGCTAAAACGATGCCAGGCCTGAACCTACCCTAAACGGACTACCCTAAACCCACCCCAAACCCACCCCAAACCTTTGTCCGTTAGTGTCTGCTTTCGTGCACGCCAGGCTGTGCCAGGGTTAGGCTAATGCCAGGGCTATGCAAAAACAAACACCTCAGCCGGTGTTAGTTTTTGCTTTTTCGGTTTGGCAGTGCAAGCGGAAGACCAGAACTGCAAAAGCAACACACACGCACACCTCTGCCCAGCGTGGCGTCCGCTTTCTTGTTTGGGGTGTTTTGGTGTTTTTGGTGGGGTGGTCCTTTAGTTCCATTGGCCTTGCCCGCGGCAACCTGCTCGGTGGCATCTCCTGAGGTCCGAACTCGGCGAAAGACCCCGTTAGGTCCTAGCAAAACACCAGGAAACACCAAAGGTCGGCTTGCTGGTTCTCAGCAGGGAACGAGACATGGAATGACCCCTATAACAACCCGTCCGATTTGGTTTCCTTTCATCAAAACTCTGGGTGATTCCCTACCTATAGGGTTCGGCCTGGGATTCCGGAGGTTTTCTAGAAAGAAGGATCCCTGGAAAGAATGGGGAAGGTACTCTTAGCATCCACCAAAATTTGTCTCATGAACAGCTGAAGAAAAGGAGAGTGGAAGTAAGGCAGTAAGCTGAATGGCCAACTATTCTGATCAGGGGTGATTTCTCCAACCGCAGTTAGGGCTTCCAAATAGGTAACTGGGGTTGATCCGGGTGCAGATAGCACTGGTTTCAGTTTGCTTCTTCGAGTTTAGGGCAAGACACATGGAGGAAGCGCCCTCATGAAAGAAGGATCCATTTTGTGCGAGGATCCATCGAAGAGCAGCTCCTGCAAAAGATCCACGAGCAAGCCGCTTGGGCGCGGGTTCAGCTTCAGACTCGATTCCACTTAGCCCCAGGGAGCGGCAAATTGGGGAAAGGGGTAGACTTGACATCCCAAAGGTAGCCACTTGACACCTGATTCCGGTGAAAGGATACAACCCGGAAGAAGGAGAAGGAGGAGAAGAAGAAGAAGCAAAAAATGGATTGTGCCTGCAGCGGACCTTCCTGGCGGCATTTGGTGAGTGTACCATCTCAATAGCGGTTCCAACCTCAATTGTTCTAGCCTGAGTTCTCTGTTCTGCAATTGGATAAGTTAGGGAGACCTCAGTTCTGCCTGCACAAACAGCACAAACAGCACATATGGAACCCTCGGTTCCGTTTTCCCTGAGAAGACGGAGCTGACGAGATTGGAGCCCTCCTCCAGTTCCCATGCCCTGGTCTGACAAAGCTGATTTTCAGTTAACTGAAACCAACGGAAGATGTTTACACGGCTCAACCATGGTTACAAGTGCCAACGGTCAGGACCCTCAATAGTCCAAAGCCCTGTTGGCTGGTTCCGAACCCTTGTGCCAAGTGGTTTTGGTTATAGCCACGGAAACTTAGAACCATGAGTGGGTTGGAACCTCCCACCCACTAACGTGCCACCTGACACGGGGTCCCTCAAGGAAATCGATCTTCCGGCTGCTCTTTTTCAGGTGCCATGGCAACGTGAGAGGGTACCCATCCCCTCCGGCTGGTTTTTTGTTTTTGTTTTTAATCACGGGCTATCTAGCACCCGGTGGCTCCAAAATGACCTCAGGCGCAACTCACCGCCAAAGTAATGTGCATGTACAGGCCTAAAAGCAAGCGGGGTTGGGGGGGACGGTAGCTCCATGATATGGGTGTGGGTCAAAAATAGGGCAATCCCAAAATGGCTTGCCCTGGTAAATGGAAGCAAAGACTAAAACCCGCGGTCTGGTGGTTAAACTTTGACCCATACCCAGCTCGCCAAAGTACCCTGTGGCCATCCAACTCCTTCGGATCGAGCTGCTTCGAGGTCTACGACCGCTTCTTCGAGCTGGCGCCGGCGGGGCAGGACTACTTCAAGCAGTCGGCCACACGCAGCTCGGGCAGGCAAGAAGTCCAGCGGTTTTGGTGTTGGTTGTTGGTTTTGGTTTATCTTAAGACCTTGGTTGGATGGTTGGTTGGTTGGCTGGGTGGGTGGTTGTGCTTGGGTGCTTGGGTGGTCGGTTGCTTGGTTTGACCTTACAGAAGGGCAGCACCAATCTACCTGCAGCATCGCGACTCTGTGCTCTGCCGGTTGGAAGAGCAAAGGCCTGAACTACATTGCCGACCAGGCCCTGGAGATCGCGCTGGAGCTGTACAAGGCGCATCCACCCACCCGGACTGAGTCTGGGTGGAGTGGGGTGTGCTGGTGGCGCTGGTGTCCCAAAGGTACTTTGCAAGGACGCAGGGAAATAGACCTTGGTATACGGGGTGGAGTTGGACATGAGCACGGTGTGTTTCAGTAGGCATCGGATGACATGATCTTGTTGCTTGCTGGTATTTGGACGTCTACGATCCCATCCGACTTTTCACCTTATGTGCAGAAAGCGCTCAGCTGCAAGCTCGACGGCATGAAGGTGAGCAAGTACCTCCAACTTAATGTGTTTAAAGCGTTGTTATAGCATCGCTACCAGTAAAGTCCGGCAGAGTTGGGGGGTGGGTGGAAGTTTCAAAGATATAGAATCTATAGTGTCTCCTTCTCTTCCTCTTCATCCTTCTCTTTCTCGGCTCTCTTTCTGAGTTGTCCTTCTCTTTCTCTTTCTCGTTTTTTTTTTTTTTTTAATCTTCTCTCTCTGTCTCTTTATCTTTCCTCTTTCTCTCTATCTTTCTTCTTGCTCTTTCTCATTCTTCCTTTCTTTGTCTTCCTCCTTTCTGCTTTGTTCCTGTTCCTCTTCCTCTTTCCTCTTTTTCGTTCTCCTTGCCTTCCCCTTTCCCTTTTCTTCCGCCTCTTCCTTTTTGCTCTTTCCTTTCCTCATTCTTTTTATCTCTGTACCTCTTCCGCGTTTTTGTTTCTTCCTCTTTTTTTTTTTCTCTCTCTCTCTCTCTCAGCCCACGTGCGCACCTCTTTCTTCTTCAGGGACCAGCCTTTAAGGTCGGCCCACAGGCTCACAGGCAACAGACATAAGCAACGAGTGTTTGAAGGTCGACGCCAGTGAATAAGAGAGAGAAGAAAGTTGACTTGTTGTTTAATAACACATACGCAAAGCTTCTATTCACGCATTCTCAAGCTTCCTTTGGTCACGCGTTTTCCGACTTTCGTGCGTGTTTCTGTGCGAAAAGGTCGGGGTAGCTCCGACTGGGCGAGGCCCCGGCTTGAACCAGACCCAAGGAAGTTTTGAAGTCCAGGCGCCCATGGACACGGTGGAGCGCTTGTCAGCGCTGGGCTTACGCCATGTGGGCTACGGGGTGCCCGTGCACCTCTTCGAATTCTTCGTGGAAGGCACGGGGCACGGGCTTGGGCTGGGTTTTCAGGGGCAGCCCGGCCCGCAGCCGCAAAGCTGATGCTCAGAGCATCACTCATTCAAGTTTCAATCACTGCAACCTCTCTCAATCTCACTCACTCAACTTCGTGCTAAGTCTCGCTCAGTCAATTTACACTCACTTTACAGCTAGGCATGGATCATCCCGGCCTTCAGTTTGCCAAAAGACAGCTGTTGACCCCTTTGAGGAACCTGCTGGAGAACTTTCATTTGGTGCCAGTGCTGGACTTAAGGTACGCAGAGTTTGCTTTGAAGCACCTTGTTAGTGAAACAGTCCATTGGCCGTGAGCGCGTGATGTCGCAGTTTCAGCCAGGATCGTTGCTGTGAGCCCAGAATACCGGGGTCCCTCAATGTCCTTTTTTGGAGCGCAAGTGGCCAGCAGTTTTGAATTGAAGAGGAATCCAGTGAGCCCTTGTTTTGGAGCTCAAGTGGCAATTTCATGGGTGACCCGCCGTGGAAATCCGGATTTGTTTGGGTGCCCACTGTTTTTGTGTTGAAGGGAACAACCCAAAGATGCTCTAATTTCGGTGTATAGTGCACATCCAGCTCAGCAATCGCCACAAATGGCCCACTTTGGCCGTTGTGGGTCTAGACGCTGCGCAGTCGAGCGATCGAACGCTGACGCGGGGATTGCGAGGCTGGAGGATCACCCTGCAAGAGCTGACAGGAGCCTCGACTGAATCTTCGGCCCTTTTTTAGGGAACCGCTTGGGTCGGTTTGAAAGGGAAGCCGGAGGGTACACTAAAAACCACACACCCACATGGCTATGGGTGAATGACATGAATGCCGGGATGGCGTTGAACAGAAATCAAGCGGAAAGCCATTGACGAAGATGTGAAAGAATCCAACTGGTCTCAACACCTACAAAAGTTGCCAAACCAGGCTTGCAATGGTCCGTGAATTCCGCGCAAGCTTGACGTGCCAGTTGGCATATTCAGTTTGTGCGTGGGCTCAGGTGATGAGGAGTTGACGGACGCGTTCAACTGGTCCTTTTCGCTCGTGAGCAAGCTTCTTGTGAGGACTGCGGTCATAGGGCATGTTGATGTTGGAGAAGGGTTTTGGGGAAACCTTCTGTCCACTTCCATAGTTGCTGGGACAAGGGGTAGATTGTTAGAGGCCAGCTGTCCATCAAAATTCCTCCGCAGACAGCGCCTCCAAGATGGGGCCAGCTGTCTAAGGCGGTTGACACCAAAGGCCATGGTCATCTCACACCTAGAAATCCTCCAAGAGGCTTTTAAACCAATGGTGGCTCGCCTGACCGGCCCCAAAAGGGCGATTTTCCCGGTTTGCCTGTTGGCTTCCCTTTGAAAAGCAACCAGAAAGGGGTACCATCAAAAAAATGTTTTCCTTCCCTAGTCCGTTCCTTTGAGAGGACGATTGAGCAGGGCGCGACGGTGGTGATGAAGGCAATCAACACCAACTGCGCCAAGCAGGCAGAGTTCTCACGGGTACTGTGGATGGACAAAAATCCTGCACACGTTGGGATGGATGACACCCGATTGAATACCAAGCTGCGAGGTGGATCTTGTCCATCCTTCCTTCTAAGTATTAAATGGCTGGACATCCCCGGAATAAGGAATCCCCCCCCCAAACCCCCCCCCTCAACCCCCCCCCCCCTTCACAAGTGGGAGGTTTATGAAGGGGTCGACCTTGAGAGAAGCCTTGCCCCGGCCCCCAGCTCCACGCCAGGTGCGGCGAGCCTTGGCCCACGCCCCCCGCAGAAAGCGGGCGATGTGGGTGTTGGACGTGACGGTGCCTCGGCTTTTTTTTTCTCTCCTTTTTTTTCTTCCTTTTTCTTCTTCCTTTTTCTTCTTTTTCTTTTCGAGGCAGCCCAGCAGCAAAAGCCCAAGAGTCGGTGATTCCGTGGGGTGGAGGGTGGTTTGGGTTTGGCTTTGGAACCCTGGCTCTTGGAGGGATGGGACGTCGCCCCCTGGACTGCCTCCAAAGCGCCGATCCACACCGAGAAGATTGTCGATGCAATTGAAGAAGCCATTTAGAGTGACCGTTTGTGGCAGGCAGTCAGAGTTCCTTGCAGGTACAGGATGCTTTGACTGCAGTGGAAGTTGTTTGAGGTCGGGGGGCAAAGGCCCATCAGTTGGGCGGTTGCCGAGGTAGTTGCATTGACGTTTGGATGCTTTGCGTGTTTTCACCAGCGCAAGGTTGGCTCCCAGTCGATCTCGCCCCTCCTGACTGCTATTGAGAGTGGCAACATGGAGGCGGCTCAGGCGGGATTCGGTGGTTCCCAGCATCCGGCTCCGGGGTTCTGAGGAGTCCGCGTTTTTGACCCCAAAAGTCTAGCTTCAGGCGGGATTCCGCTGTTCCGGAGGTGGTGGTTGGTTTGGTGGTAGGTCCCACTCAACCACCAACAGCTCGACTTTTGGGAGGGGATCTGGGACCAGGCCAGTGGATGTTGTGTGAAAAGTGTTGCAAGATGAACAACCCAACTTAGAACCGAGCACCAACACTTTGGTTTGTAAGCCTCGCAGAGTCTCCGGGCTGCGGTTTGGTTTGCAGTTGCTTTCAGCTGTCAGATCAGCAAGCATTGTTTTCTCCCGTTTAGCCAAAGTTTCAGTTGAAGCATCTGAATCAGATATTTCCCGCAGGCCATGCTTGAGGATCTGGTGACGATCCGCGCTGACCGATCCAGGCAGCTGGCCTGGAAAAGGGATGTTTGTGTGTGCGTGTGTGTTCTAGATGGTTGCTGTGTTGCCGATGTTTCTTGTTAATCGCACCGATGTTTCTTGTTTTATTTAGTTCTCATGCCCGAACTTGGAACACACACTCGAGTCATGGCTGTGCTATTCCAGGCATGCTTCATTCAGGCACAGGTGCTCGCGCAAGCACACATCTGTCCGCAAGCTGAGGCAAACCTGGGCATGCTGAAATGCCATTTGAAAGCGCTTTGTTCAAAGCCCACAATGCTATGTTTTTTCCCGGAAGCATTGCGAAGGGTTCTTCTTCTAAAAGCGGCTGCCAACTTCACCTGCCAACTTCTCATGCCAACTTGTCGAGAGTTACTTCACCTGCCAACTTCTCATGCCAACTTGTCGAGAGTTACTTCACCTGCCAACTTCTCATGCCAACTTGTCGAGAGTTACTTCACCTGCCTACTTCTCATGTCAACTTTTTGAGAGTTACTTCACCTGCCAACTTCTCATGTCAACTTTTCGGCTGTTATCTCATTCTACTAAAAGCACAAGCTAATTTGTCGGGTGTTACTTCACTATCCTAAAAACACAAGCTAACTTTTCTGTTCTACCTTCACTTCTCGACTCTTAATTCTTCTTCTTTTTCTGGCGGGGGTAGGCCCGACAGGAGCTTACGAAACGCACCCCTCTGCGGAGATCGTGCGTGTCGAAGCGCTCTCGCTGTGGCGCCGTGCGAATTTGTCTTGAGCGCGGCGAACCCTCTGCGGAGATCGTGCGTGTCGAAGCGCTCTCGCTGTGGCGCCGTGCGAATTTGTCTTGAGCCCGATGAGGCCAAGGCAGCGACAGAGCCTTCGGCCGACCCCGACGCGGACGCGGAGCACGACGACTCGGAGGAGGCTCCAAGGGCTTGGCAGCGTTTGTGAGCTTTGAGTGTTGTGTTTTTGTCTGACGCATTTCCACGGTTGGATGTAGGCCATGCCTCACTCTGAGTCTTCCGTGAGGTCAGCAACGCGTCCGAGCTGGGGCGCCTGCTATTCAAGCAGTCGCTGCAGCGGGTCGTCCACTTCACCGGCACAGGTCGCTTCTTGGATTGCGTTTCTGGGCGACAGCTCGTGCAGCTTTTGCAGCACACGCGAAGCTCGGGGCTCCTTGCAGCGCTTCTTATGAGGCTCCTTATGAGCCTTCCCGGAGCTTCCCGAGAAGGTTCCCGAGGCGTCTTGGGGGCTTGTGGAGCTTTCCGGAGTTCTGTCCTGGGGGTGGGACGCGCATGTCTGACGAGCTGTGGCAAGCCGTCAAAGCGAGGAGCTACACCTCGGCCTCCACGACTTCAGCGTCCACTCGCGAGCAGCTCCTCCAAGCTCACTGGGGCGGCTTTGCCTGGGAGCAGGTGGCCCGCTTGCAGCAGCTCAGGGCCGCGCTGGAGGCCCGAGCTGCCGGTCAGACTTTGTACTTCGCGCAGGCGATTGACCGCCCCACGGGTCCCACGCAGCTCAGCAGAGACCACGTCTTCGCAGCCTTGCAGGTCGTGAACATGACAAAGACGTCATATCTGCTTGGCATGTGTCCTCTCTACGTGGGCATGCCTGCCCGCGTGTCTTGCATATTGCCCATGCCCTTGCTGACACGCGAGCTGCCCGTGATCGTTCGAAGGATAGAGCTGCACCCGAAGGAGCCGCCAGTCCCGGAGGGTCAGGGGTGTGTTGTTCTCGCATATCAGCCTCTGGCAGTGCTGGTAGAAGTAGATGACGAGGAGTACAAGAACTACTGCCTACCTGGGCATGAGGGCGTTCCGCCCGGGCACTTTTTCATCCGCGCCATATCTTCAGAAAACGCTTGGTCTTTTCATACTGCTGGCAAGGAGAAGATCAGCGTGGTGCGCAAGCAGGTGCCGCTGGCTCCTCGCTGTGTTTTGACTCACTACGGGCTGCAGGGCGTGACTGCCCGGCGGGGTCTCGTGGCCTTCCTTTCCAGGCCCAGCTGGATGAAAGACGCAGACTACGCCCTGGCGATGTACGTCATGCTATCTCGCCCGCGCAAGTTGGACGACTTGTGGATCATCGACTTGCCTGAGAGGGACGTGTTTGAGGGGCACTTGCACGCCCACAACACCACGCTGGTGGAGAGGATGCAGCAGTTCGAAGCGCAAGCGCTTCGGGACGAGAGCAGGGCACTGTCCTACGTTAGAAAGCTTGGCTGGCACAGCTCCGAGTTCGTGTCCGATCTCTTCCCCTCTGGCGCTTTTGAGCGGCGAGTCCGGCAAAAGCTTCGTGCGTGACACGCAGCCTGGGCTACCACACCGTTCGTCATCAAGATGGCTCAGCACTGCAGACAGCTATAGTCGTGTCATCTGGGTTGGCTCGCGCTGGCGGATGTTTCCGACGCGCGAGCGATCCCAGTCTGGCGCGACATAGACGTGGGAGGACGAGCATCTTGGTGGTCGGATTCCGGCGACTTCAAGGACGACCTTGGCACTTCCAGTCTCCGCGGCGGCACGCGTGATTCTTTGTGAGTCCTCCGGGCGAGTTCGTGTCCGATCTCTTCCCCTCTGGCGCTTTTGAGCGGCGAGTCCGGCAAAAGCTTCGTGCGTGACACGCAGCCTGGGCTGCCACACCGTTCGTCATCAAGATGGCTCAGCACTGCAGACAGCTATAGTCGTGTCATCTGGGTTGGCTCGCGCTGGCGGATGTTTCCGACGCGCGAGCGATCCCAGTCTGGCGCGACATAGACGTGGGAGGACGAGCATCTTGGTGGTCGGATTCCGGCGACTTCAAGGACGACCTTGGCACTTCCAGTCTCCGCGGCGGCACGCGTGATTCTTTGTGAGTCCTCCGGGTAGCATAGCTCATGAGTAGCTCAGGTAGTGATGCACGGCTTGTTGCTGAGCGCAACGAGCGGGCGCATGCGACGAGCAAGAACAATGCGAGTGAGTCGCGAGCGGTCTGGGCTTTTACCTCTTGCTTGTATGCGGGCGCACAACTCCGGCAGAGCCAGCAGCCAGCGCCACAAACGCACACGAACGACACCGCCAGCACTGGTGAACACCACGCGCAGTCTCACGCGCAGCAGCACGTGGCACATCATGCGCAGCATCGCGCGCAGCGTCACGCACCGCGCCACGCACAGCTTCGCGCGCAGCACGCAGCCGCCACATCTTGCAACACGCGTTTCGCGATCTCCTCGCTGCTGCCAGACAACATCAGCAGATTGAGCGCTTGCGCTGTCTCCATGTTTTGCTCTTCGAGGGAAGCCGAGTGAAGCCGGACAACATCAGCAGATTGAACCAGCCTCGCGCGCAGCATCATGTGCCACATCATGCGCAGCACCGCGCGCAGCGTCACGCACCGCGCCACGCACAGCTTCGCGCGCAGCATGTAGCCGCCATATCTTTCAACATGCGCTTTGCGATCTTCCTCGCTGCTGCCAGACAACATCAGCAGATTGAGCAACCTGCGTGACATGCTTGAGCGCTTGCACTGACTCCACGTTTTGCTCTTCGAGGGAAGCCGAGTGAAGCCGGACAACATCGCCTGCACGCTGTTGCACTTGAGTGAAGCCAAGGGAAGCCGAGTGAAGCCGGACAACACCAGCAGATTGAACAACCTACATGACATGCTTGAGCATTTGTGCTCACTGAACGCTGTTGCACTTGAGTGAAGCCGAGGGAAGGGAAGCCGAGTGAAGCCGGACAACATCAGCAGATTGAACAACCTACATGACATGCTTGAGCTTTTGTGCTCATTGCACGCTGTTGCACTTGAGTGAAGCCGAGGGAAGCCGAGTGAAGCCGGACAACATCAGCAGATTGAACAACCTACATGACACGCGTGAGCATTTGTGCTGCCTGCACGCTGTTGCACTCGAGTGAAGCCAAGGGAAGCCGAGTGAAGCCGGACAACACCAGCAGATTGAACAACCTACATGACATGCTTGAGCATGTGTGCTCATTGAGCGCTGTTGCACTTGAGTGAAGCCGAGGGAAGCCAAGGGAAGCCGAGTGAAGCCGGACAACATCAGCAGATTGAACAACCTCCGTGCCACACTTCTGCATTTGCATTGAGACCTCGCTATGTAAGTTGCCTGCATGTCCAGGAGCTTCGCTCCAGTTTCGCTTCGCCCAGGTGGTGGTGGTTTCTCCACGGTGCCTCAGGTGTTGGTTCTCCCCCGCCTCGCCTTCCGCGCCACGCGCCTGGTGGTTGGCTCAAGCTAGCGCGGAGCAATCCGAAGCACAGTTGATGCACTCATCTCGCTGCTATTCTCGCCCTTTGCCGCGTAGAGCTAGCTGCAGAGCAGTACCTATTTTCCGGCTTGACGCGCGGCGGGGCTCTCAAGCACCTGGACATGTGGCACATGTTATTTATGGCTGTTTTATGTTTTCGTCTTGCTTTGTCGCAATGCTGCTACAAACGCTTTGCGCCCGGGCATGCTTTGCGCCGGGGCTCTGACCTGCTGGCGCGCGAGCCTTGGGCGCTTGCTCAGAGGGCGCCTTTTCCCTTGGGCATATGCAGTTAGTTACCTGTCACTTGCGCCATGCTGCTCAAGACGCGCTGCTGTCAGAAATTTCAGGACCTTGGGCACTCACCTATCCAAGCGCGGAGCTTAGACAGTTTTCGCTTTCATGTCTTTTCCGCATCGAGTTAAGAGCAGAGCATTTCCTATGCTCTGGTTCTCTGTGTGGGACACGCGAGCTCGCAGACTCGAAAAGCAGGGTCTCGGCGCCATTTGTTTCTTGACTTGCTGGGCGTGCGTGGCTGGGTATGCGCACGCACGTCATTTCTTCGAACCTCTTGGCTCGAAAGCACGAGTTTGTTCCAGCTTGCTCAAGGCACGTCGGACACCTCAGAGGGCGCCTTGCAGTTTTTTCCTTGGGCATATAAAGTAAGTTACTTGTTATCCGCGCCGTGCTGGCGAAGACACGCTGCTGTCACAAATGTCAGGACCTTGGGCTCTTTACTATCCACGCGCGGGCCTTAGACAGTTGCTGAGAGTGCACCATTCAGCT